TCTCTCTCTCTCTCTCTCTCTCTCTCTCTCTCTCTTCAGACTTCATCTTCTTCTTCATGTTCTTCTTCTTCTTCTTCTTCTTCTTCTTCTTCTTCTTCTTCTTCTTCAGATTGGAGACTTATACTAGTTGGACAGAGATCAGTATTGGACTTCGGTGGTATGAGACTGTGGTACTTACCGGATTGGAGACTTGGAGATTGTTGGGGTTGATACTCAGCTTCATCACAGTTCGGACACCGGTTACAATTGGACTCTGTACCTCCGACCTTGGTGACCTATTGTCCTCGACATTTTGATCTTGTTGGATGACACTTTTGGACTACCATATCGGTGACCTATCAGACTCTATCTCGGTGACCTTCGGTGCTGTCTACCTCCCCCACCTCCTTCGTCTCTCCTCCCACCTCTCATCTGTGTATGTGTGTACGAGGTCTGGGCATCGTCTATGCTTGGCCCAGACCCCACCATCTCACGATTGTATGTGTGTGGAGTGATTCTTGAGTCAGTCTGTGTGAGTCAGTCTACGAGAGTCAGTCTGTTTATCAGACTTCCGCTGCATATATGCTCATCCTACATTGGTTGATCTTTGGTTCTGCCCATACTCATTGAAGTATGTAACAGTATAGCAAGTATTAGCAACCTCTGTTCTACATCAGCACTCTTGAGAGCCTTTTCTGATGAAAGGCAGCTCAATGTCGGGTGAGTTGCTCTGCAATTGCAGAAGCGAAAGATAGATGGTTACCGATACAGGAGAGAGGAGATGTAGAGGAAGAAACAAAACCATGAGCTCGTTTTCACAGTTAACAAGAAAGAACGCAAATCCGAATTGCAACTCATCTGACAGTGTTTCTTTTGACATGGAGAACTTTCAGCTGAAACAATGCGGGAGAGACTGAGCATTGTTCTGGAACAGACATCGCAATGCATGAGTCAGTGAGTCACTTGATTAGACGTTCTGACTTAAGTTCAGTACTAAATGAAAACCAGGAGTCAATGTGGAACTAGAAACTTCAATTTGAAAGTAAAACTGCTATAACAAATGAAAAATGGTCGATGGGCCTCTCTTTGTGGGGGCATAAACAACGGCCGCATGCTGGTTAAGTAAGTTGGATGACGATTGTTTTGTTTAATTGCTACCGTCTTCACCCGAATAGAATGTCAGGTCATTATAGCCGTATTTGGTGCACTTTTCAGTCCATATACGGCTATCATAACCCGGCGTTCTATTCGGGTGAAGACGGTAGTACACGGTCCCAGCCTTGCAGAAAGTTTTTTGTCGCCACAAGCAAAATCGGAGGCGCCGCGAGGCCAGGGGCGCCGTTGAAAAAACAAATCGGCGGCCTCCGAAGTGGTGCGGGTTTCATGCTGACACCCGCGGGCCTATATGCGGTGTACTGGTGCTTTAAAACTTTTGCTTCGTCTGAGGAACAGAACAAACACTGTCAAACAGCTCTGACAGTTATCACCGTTACAGTACTGAACGATTAATTCCGACAGCCAGGACTCTGACAATCTGGGTAATATGCGATAATTACAGGCACTTTTTAAGTTAGCAATGCATTATACGCCTCATGTAGATTTAGTTTTGTGCCCGCAGCGACAATGTTGTCTGGACAGTCCCAATGTTGTCTGGACAGTTGCATTGGCAATCTGCCTTTGTGGCAAGCATTCTCTGAGAACTGTTGCCATCTGACTCGTACCAGCGGTTCTTGAACTCACAGAAGAGTGATCTGATTATCTTAAGAAGAGTTCAACGGCGTAGTTTGACTTTGGTGACTATTAAGTTCTGACGGAGTTGCTGTTTGATTTGTTGCTGAGGGAAGGGTTATGTTTGAACGAGAAGGTGGCCGTGCAGAGGTGAAGGTACAGGGAATGACTCCGTAAGGGACCCTGTCCATTCTTTTCCGCTGTGTAGGGTTGACAATATCTATGTTTCTCTCTCTCTCTCTCTCTCTCTCTCTCTCTCTCTCTCTCTCT